AGGCTGCGCCTGACTGTGTGCACGGTGACTGAAACCAGGAGGGCAGGAGAATAAGGACGTGCACAAGCACAGCATGTGGGAAGCCAGAGTGCGGGAAGGTGATCTCGTGTGCTGGGGCTTCACCGAGCTGCGGACTGGAGAACTGTGTTTCTCACTGAAGTCAGCTGGAAGTTACACGACCAGAGGAGAGTATCACAGTTGACGGTGCAGGCGGGTCATTCTAACTAGCACGGAGTCACGGAGTCAAGGTGCCTTGCACATTGTCGTTCTGTCCAGAAGCTAAAACTAGAAGCAAAATCTGCATCCCATACACGTGTGCAGTGGGTGTTTGTCCACAGCCACACTGCGGTCCCGCAGCACTTCCACACCCTCACACTGTGCACCGGATGTGCCTTTCACAGTTGATTTAAGCGTTCAACTGAGAACTTCCCCTGACTTTCACTTGTGATTAATCTGCAATTTAATGATGCTAAAAAGCAAACATCAAGAGCAAATAATGGGATTTTGTAAATGTCCTCTAAGCAATTAGTATGTTCAGTTAAACTCATCTGTGGATTAGGATCAGTTTTGGCAATATCTGTTTGTGTGTGGAGATGAAATACATGAAATCCTATAAATCAGCATTAACAGGGCAGTGAGGTTAAAAAAGACATCCAGATTGAAAAGGAAGAACTAAGTGGTCTCTGTTCACATACAACATGATTTTATATATAGGAAATCCTATAATAGTATCAAAAAGAGTACAATATTTAGGAATATGTTAACAAAAGAAGTATAGTGCTTGGACACAAAGAACTATAAATCATCATTGAAAGCAAACAAACCAAAGACCTAAAAAGTGGTAAAACCCACCCCAGGTTCGTGATCAGGAGACTTACTGTCATCAAGATGGCAGCGCCCCCTACCGACCTGCAGGCTCAGTGCGGGCTGCATCAGGTGCCGCTGGCCTTTGACTGCAGACCCAAGTGTGAAGAGTTGAAACTTTTAAAATTCAAAGAAGAAAATATAGCAGTGAATCTCTGGATTTATTGGATTACTTGGATTAAGTAATGATTTCTTAGATATGAAACCGAAGTCCAGGTAGTCAAAGAAGACATCGACATTTCATCCCCATGAAGAACTTTCACGCTTCAAAGGACATCATCAAAAAAAAGTTCATCGAATTGAAGAAAATATTTGCAAGTTACATATCTGACGAGCAGTGTGTATCCACACCAAAGAACTACAACTCAAAGATGAAAAGACAGCCTGATTTTAAAAAGGCAAAGGAGTTAAATACAGTCAGAGGAGACACCCAAATGGCCAGCGAGCACATGACAGGGTGCTCAGTGCCACTGGTCGTTGGGGAATCAGAACCACAATGAGGTGGCGTCACCTGCTGGGGTGACTGCAACAAATGTTGATGATGCAGAGAAATTGGAAGCCGGACACATACATGGTGTGATTATAAAGTGGTGCAACTGCTTTGGGCAACAGCTGGCAGTTCTTCAAAAGGTTGAACAGAGTTAGCATGTGACCCAGCAATTCCCCTAAGTCACCAAAAGAACTGAAAATACATGTCCACCAAAAGCTGCTTATGAGCATTTAGAGCAGCAGTAGTAGCAGCCAGGAGACAGAAACGACCTAAATACCTGTCAGTGGCAAACGCCAGCACGTCCCTGCAGCGGGCCGATCCTCAGTCTTCACGAGTCATGAGCAGCGATTCCTGCCACTTGGGGTTGAGCCTTCAAACACTACACAGCGTGCAAGAAGTCAGACGCTGAAGGATCTAGCGAGAGAGGGGCGAGGGGAAGTGACTGCTGATAGGCACGGGGGTTCTTTTTGGGATGATGAAATGTTTTAAAATTAGATAGTGGTGATTATTGCACAACCCTGTGTATTATCCTAAAACCACCAACTTGTACACTTAGAAGAGTAAATTTTTTTTAAAGATTTATTTATGCATACAAGAGCTGGGGTACAGGCCAGAGATGTGGGGGGTGAGAGAATTTGCCAGAGACAGAATGGGGAGCAGAATAGGCAGACTGACTGAAATACACTGCTGAGGGGAGCAGCGGGCAGGTCAAGAGAGGTCTGCTGTGCCATGTGGGTTGCTCCCTGGCCAACTGGGGATCGAACTTGTGCTGCAAAGACTGTGAATTGCTTGATAGTGTGGTGCTTAGCCCCTTGCGCCACCAGGGAGGCCCTAGAAGAGTAAATTTTATGGTATGTAAATTATATTGGTAAAGCTATTATTTCAAAGTGAGCATTAGTAGATGAGCATTTGTAATTGATTTTAATGATAGGGAACACTTTGAATCCCAACTTAGCAAGTGTTATCTCACCTCCAAAAAGAATCCCATTCTCATTGGGAGACTTGTATTACCAAAAAAAAAAAAAGGTACTAAGGTACAGTTTGAACTTCACAATAAAAAATTTATGAAGCATTATTTTTCTTTTTTCTGGTAAAAGTACTTCCATTATATCTTTGGTTTATCCTTTTGGCCTGTTTAAAATATTTGACCCTTTACAGAAAAAGCTTGCTGTCCCTTGCTCTAGGCCTTTGTTTCTTTTACCTGATTTTCCCTCCCCATTCTGTCTCAGACCTGTTCGCGTGCTAAGGTGCTGCTTTGGTGACCCGGCCCTCCTTGGGAGGAAGGCTTTGCTTCCCCGCCAGGCCCAGAAGAGGGCGTGCCTTCGGGTTCCCCGCAGCGCCTCCCTAGACCTCTGCGGCTCGCATCGGGCTGTGCTGTGTGCTCTGAGCCTGTCTGCCTGTCTAGCCGGCGCCTCTGGTGGGCAGGGGCTGCGTTGTGTCCGTCTTTCCGCCCCTGGTGCCACAGAGTGGACGCGTCATTGCTTGCGGGATGGGTGGATGGAGGAAGCTTAAGCTTCCTGCCAGGCGGGAAATGCAGTGCTAGCGCCAGACACCTGTTCTGGTGAAGACCTCCAGCCTCTCTTGTTTCTGTTGACTTCGAAGTTTTCCATTAGGCAAACAAAAGCTCATGACTATTAAAGGAGATGACCTAATGACAAGAAAAGCCAGAAAAATAATCATAGTCGCTTACCCCTAGTTACCAAGAGACAAGCTCCTTGGTGACCTGCAGGTATATTTTTCTCAGACCTTTTAATGCCCACTAGTGGTGGGTGTGTTCAAGGCAAAAATGAGAGGATGCTGTTGAAACCATTTTTCCTCTATATTGTAAATAACTTGCTGTGGCAGAAAATAAACTTCCTAACTCTTTCAGTGGCTATGCTGTCTTATTACCTGGATGAATCATAACTTATTTAACCAAGTCCTTTTTGACATTTAGTTTGTTTACATGTTTGCCATTATTGACCAACTATACGATCAACATCACTGTAGTTAGATCTGTGCACACTTTGGCGATTATTTCCTTAGGATAAATTCCCAGAAGTAGAATTATTGGATCAAAAGTAGATGTAAATGTTTAAGTTGTTTGATAAGTACTGTCAGACTGCCCTCAAAGAAGAGCCACATGTCCGTATAGATTTTGAAAATCTCTTCTCTCTATGTGGTGAAACTTTATTAGGACCTTTGAATGTGCTATAGGGTAGCTTCAGCAGAGAAGCATGTTTATAATGCTCAGAGAAAGCGCTGGTCTCAGCAGCTCAAACAAAGATGAGGTTCAACATGCCCCAGGAACGAAGTAAAATGTGTGCTAATTATGAGTGTAGCAGGAGGGTGCCTGTTTTCAATAATTGCACAAATAATTGTTCTTCCTTGTCACGTATGCTGTGAACAATAGAGGAAATTATAAGTTTTCTCTGACTTCAGAAACCTTCAGCTCTGCATTGTTAAGGTTGCCCTCTGTTCCTGTACAGCAGGCGCCCTATCTCCGGAAGACACCATTGATAAGAAGTGTGAGGTTTTGGGTGTGGTCCAGCTAAATTTGTTAGATAAATGGATGTACACTGATAGGTCTTATTTGACCATCCAGCACATTTTCCCCTTGGAGAGGTAATTAATGCTACTCACACAGAAAATGTGTCTTTCAGGTTTAAAGATCTGCAGACATGCCCAAGAAACTAAGTATAATGAGTGCTGCTTATGATGCGTGTGGAAGGAGGCTCTTCCTCCCTCACTTATCTGGAGGCATAAATGTAATTTTAATGCACTGGATCAAAGCACAGATTGGGTTAGATAATCGATGGTAGGTGATTGAATCTTAAAATGAATTAATTTTTTTAAAAGATTTATTTATTTATATAAGAACTGGGGTACAGGTCAGAGGCACCGGAGGGTAAGAGAATTCACCAGAGAGAGCGGGGAGCAGAACAGGTACATGGACGGAGGACACTGCTGAGGGGAGCAGCGGGCGAGACAGGAGAGTTCTGCCGTGCCATGTGGGATTCTCCCTGGCCAGCCGGGAATCGAACCCGCGCTGCAGAGGCTGTGGACAGCTTCACAGTGCAGTGCTCAACCCGTTGTGCCACCGGGGAGGCCAAATTTTTCTCTTTTTTAAAGATTTATTTATTTACACAAGAACCAGGGTACAGGCCAGATGTGCGGGAGGGTGAGAGAATTTACCAGAGAGAGTGGGGAGCAGAACAGTTGGGTCTACTGAAACCCACTGCTGAGGGGAGCAGTGGGGAGACAGGAAAGGTTTGCTGCGCTGTGTGGGTCGCTTCCCTGACCGGGAGTCGAACTGGTGCTGCATTGGCTGGCCATAGCTTTATAGCGCTGTCTTTGACCCCTGTGCCACCAGGGATGCCCCATACTGAAGTTTAAATGACGCTGCTTTCATTTATGCGCAGATGTCTGCGTCACTGCATACAGGTGGGTCATCTCAAGGTCATAAATCACGTATGTTACAACTTGAAAAAGGGATGCTGATCAAACGGGTTGTTCTGAAGCACTTCCAGTTTCTGTGCCTCTTCGTTTACGTGTGCTCCGTTTTGTGAGTGAAGCTATTTGGCAGTGGGGTGTATGTGAGTGCGACGAAAGCGACCGTGTGGGAGGCTTCCATCTTGCTCATTTACCCTGTGTGGTCTTCTTGTAGGAGAATGACATCTTCCTGGGCTGGGAAAAAGGAGCTTATAAGAAATGGGGAAAGAGTAAGAGAAAGTGCTCCGATCTAACTCTGGAAGAAATGAAAAAGCAGGCTGCTGTCCAGTGTCTCCGATCGGCTTCTGATGAGGTAAGTTCACCCCTCATTCCTGACACGTATTAGGGCAAAAAAGCTCACCTCTGCAACAGCGTCATCAAAACTTAGCAAGTTGGCTGCTGGTTAGTGTGCCCCTGTCTTGTGAGCGTTATCATTGTTCCTTTGTGGTATTTTTCCATGTAAACTTTTATATAATACGTTCTTTCATGTGTGCTGTTGTAATTAGAATGTACTCAAAATTTTGTCCTTTTTTCCATTTAATATTGTACATCCATTGAATATTGTAGCATTGTTCGTCTTACTCAGTGTCCTGTATTCTTTTCAGTGGATCAGTTATATTTCATCAAATAATATCCTAATACCAATATAATCTTTATTCCTGGATGTTTAAATTGCTTTTGACTTTTGTTCTGCTGTCTGCAATACTTTCGAATGTAGCATTTTCCGTATTCTATGTTGATTTCTTCTGGATGCCTCCCTCGTAGTGGGATAGCAGTTGTCACATTTTAAGAATACTGTATTTACTTATGAGTCATACTTTGTTGGTTTCTTGGAAAATTATTAATCTTTTGACGCTTTGTGTAAAATACTTCCTCCGTCCTCTGGCACGGTAAAATACAGTTGTAGAATATTGTCAACCTATTTAATACTATGAATTCTTATTTTATTACTCTACATGGTAATCTCTGAGAGCATAACTACTTAGAAAAGTATTTTGCTTTACCATGCTGTCTGAGCTAGTGTGGCCTCAGGGCCTCTGGAGGGCAGGGTCACATTGAGAGTACTCATCCAGGTTGTCAGAGACGTTTCTGGCCTCCAGGAACTCCCCAAGCGCGCCTGTGGGTTGACGCTGGGGTAGCCAGCTGCGTTGCCTTTGGTACTCTGTAGACGTTTGTTCTGTCTGGCTCCACCCACTGCCTGTGCCTTGCACAGCTCATCCAGTGCCCCGGCAGCATGTCCTCTGGCCAGAGTTGCCCGTGAGAGCCCATTTCCCGGCGTGTGCTCACGGGGCCTCGTGGCTTCTGTGTCTTCCCTCTCTGTGCACCTCGGGGCCCTGGCAGCAGGTGCCTGTGCTTTCATGGCCTTGCGCCGGGCAGAGCGCGTGCCCATGGCTCAGTTTCTCTTGAATGAATTGATTGTTTTTTTTAAAATCTCATCTCATCCTGTCCGGCCTTTACTGATAAGCTGTAGCACGAGGCTGACTGCCCGGAGGCCACCCCTTCAGCAGGGCCTGTGAGTGATGGCCAGTCCTCAGAGGACAGTTACCCCAGAGGTGTTTTCTACCTGACACAGAAGCAGTCGGCTTGCAGAAGTGATTTGGAATTTGAAAGGAATTCAGAATGCGGATGGTTTCAAAAAGTGATAGGTTATTTCAGGTAAACTCTCTGAGCAAAACCCAAGAAGCTGCTGAGTCACGGAGAGAGGAAGACACGAATAGGCTCTAATTTCTACTTTGGCCAGGGTTGCTGAGTAATGACTCCAGCCGGCGCCCAGTGTTGAGCTGAGCAGCAACAGGGGCAGCTGGAACCGACCGTGGAAGAACAGGGAGTGTGGACCCGCCTCTCTGCTGAGGCGGGAGCCCCCCGCCCGAGGGCTGAGGGGTGTCTGCTGGAGAGCGGGAGGCGCGGAGAGGAAGCCGGGGCAAGGTAGAGCCGATCAGTGGAGGCTGGGGCTTCCAAGGGCACTGGTTCTGCAGAGGCTGCTTTTGGGAAACCGTTGCCCTGTGGGGCTTTGGTTGTTTGCAAGCCCAACAAAGCAGATTTATCCTGTCTTACTCTTATTTATTGAGAAAAAGTTGCATTTCCTTTTCATAATAGTGATTACATCTTACTATATTAAAGTGGAAGACGTGACAGCAGCTGCCCAGGGAGCTTGGGGAGCACGTGGGACTGACACCTTGTGTCATGCCACCGCCTTCTGTGCCTCCGCCCACAGGCTCTGGCAGCCTCCTGTCCTTGAGGGGCCAGAGCAGGAACCGGAAAGAGCCCTCTTGTCAAGACCTGTCTGTCACCACAGGAAGGAAGCCCGTGGTCCCTCACGAATGGCAGGCCAGCCTCGTGTCTGGGCTTGATGTCTAGGCTCTGTCTGGCAGCTTCATGGAAAGAATGAATCAGGGAGGCCTGATGTAGGTAAGGAGACTGGGCCTGGTCTCTTGTACGTGGGCTCAGCGAGGCCTGCTGAGGTTTGCTGCTCAGCTCCTAGGCTGGGGCCAGGGTCACAGCTCTCCGTTCTGCTCCGCCCCCAGTCCACACGCAGTCACGGAACTCTTCCTAGCGCACTCTGTACAGTCAGACCACCTGATCCCCATCAGAAGCTAAAAATGTTAATGGCATCTTCACAAGGCAGGGACAAGGTGATGTCACTGCTGCAGAGCAGTGGAGCCCATGATGTGTGTGGTGTGCTCCGTGTGTGCAGCGTAACCTCGGGACTTCAGGGTGTGTGTGCCCGCACAGGGAAGCCTCCAGGTAGCAGATCCTCTCTGCGTCTGGCTTCCTTGGGCACCCTCGTGATGGGACTCCACCCCCGCATCATCCTCGCGATGGCTTGCACCCCATGGGACAGCACATCTCTTGGCCTTCTCGGCTCAGTACTTTATCTGAGCCACACGCCAGACAGAGTGGAAACCCAGTGATGCATTACCTGACCTGGGCGCTGTGGGCAGCTCCTGCAGAGACCTGCAGGCGGGCAGTGGTGTCTGTCCTCCTAGGCACAGCCTTGGCTGTTAGGTCCTGGCTGAAACCGCTTAACGAGTTCTCTTTCACTTACACGTGCAAATGACATGCAGGTCCCCAGGTTTTCGTTTTCTAGAATGTTCTGCATTTACTTTGATTGTAGCTAGGATCTGTCTAGGAGGAATGGCGCTGTGACTCAGAGCCTCCCCAGTGGTGTTTTTGTTAAGTGATGCTTTCCCAAGCTGTGGGCTCAAAAGAAACAGAGTTTCTTTTAGCAGTGGACAGGGCACGTGCCTGGCCCAGTGCTCCCTTCAGGAGACATAGAACTTGTTTCCTCAGCCCTTCAAAGTTAAAGCTTTTTGTTTGCTTTTTTTTTTTTTTTTTTAATAATTAGCATTTCTATTTTATCTTTATTGAGCTACTTAAAACTGAATTGAAGCTAGTCTTTCAGCTCCTGATTTAGGAATGGTTAGATTAGAAACTTAGCAAGACCCTGTTTGAGGATTAGAAGTTAGAATGCAACGGTAACTTGTTTCAGTGAAGCTTGTTTTGAAGGTCACCCTGCCGCTGCTTACTCTGGCAGTGGGTGCAATCTGTGGTGTTTGGGACGTCCACCGGCCACAGTGGAGCGTGGCTGTTGGAGTGGCTCGTGTCCTCACATTCAGCTCAGCCCACCAATAAGAGTACATTACCGCCTCAGCATCCTGCTATTTTGGGGGTCTGTGCGGGGTTACAGATACAAATGCCATGCAAAGTACTTCATGACATTTATTTGCAAGGTTAATTTTGATCATGTAGACATGCTGACATTTGAACTTAACTGTTTCTGGATGATAATAAGGCAGTAAGTAACATTTATTGAGCGCTAAAAATCTACAGGGCACCAGTCTGTGCCTGGGCTCCTTGTAAGCAGTGGTGCCGTGCTCCTTCTACAGGACAGAGCCAACCGGTGTGCCCAGGACGGAAGGCCTCATCTCCAGGAGAGGCCAGGCTTTGGGAAACCTGGAGGAGCAGGAGGACTCAGCTCTTCTCCTTGGGGTGAAGTGTTGGAGGGTGGCATAAGCTGACCTGCATGCTGACAGGATGTGCTGGCTGCAGGAGCCCAGAGGGCATGGGCCAACTCCGAGGAAGCCATTAACAGGCTAGCACAGGGCCCAGAAGGTAGGTGGCTTGGAGTGCTGGTGGGATTCTAAGTGTATTTTGAAGACAGAGCTGACAGGTGTGGGTGTGAGTTGGAGAAAAAGGGAAGAGTCAAGGAAGCGAGCCAGGGTTTTCAGTCTGAGCAACTGTAAGCAACGGGTTTTCCTGTACTCAGGGAATGGCGATAGGAGCACCGCTAGTTTACGTGGATGGTGCGAACAAAGGTTTGAGTGTGAGCTGCCTGGGTGAGAGCTAAGTGGAGGTTTCGATAAAGCAGGTGGATGTGCTTGCTTGAGGGGCACAGAGGACAGGCTAGCTCGTGTAGCTCCGCGTCAAGCTTCAGGAAGACGTCCATGCCCCCATCACCACCCCTGTGCTCCTCCTCAAGCCTGGGTTGGGCGCACAGGCTGTTCCAGGCACAGACTTTGGCTGCAGGTGCTGGTGTAGTCCATAGTGGTTTGTTTTTGCGTTTTCCCCATCAGCTGATGTCACGGTCTTGTATTTGATGACAGCTGGGGACCTGATGCAAAAGGTAGGCGTGGGCTTTCCTTACATACGTTGCTTCCTTATCTGCTCACCTGTGGCTTCCTGAAGAAGACTTTGGATTAAAAATAAGGACTCGAGGGCCTCCCCTAGTGGCGCAGCGGTTGAGCACGGGCCTGAGAAGCTGCCCGCAGCCTCTGCAGCGCTGGTTCGATCCCCGGCCGCTGGGCGAGGGTCCCACATGGCGCGCAGACCTCTCCTGCCGCCCGCTGCTCCCCTCAGCAGTGTACTTCGTCAGTCTGCCTGCTCTGCTCCCCACTCCGGCTCTGGTGAATTCTCTCGCCCTCCCGCGCTTCTGACTGTACCCAGTGCTTGTATAAATAAACAAACAAATAAGTAAATAAATAAATCTTTAAAAAAAAAAAAAGGACTCTAATTCTGCTGCGAGGAGCTTCGACAGTGAGTGTAACAAGCAGGGCAGCCACACATTCAGCCAGAGCTCCACGCGCCTGTGCCCGAACCTCCTTCAGGACGTTAGTCGTGAGGAGGAGCATGGATATCTGGAGGGAAAAGAATTGGCCGTCTCGAAAGTGAAGGGAGAAGTAGATGGTCTTTCCGTAGGTCCTGAAAAACACCACCTGCTGTGATGAACCAGGAAAGCTCCAGCTCGTTGAGGTGGGCGTCTCCCCTCAGAGATGAGGAGCGTGGGAGGAGGGTGTCGCTGGCCAGCTTGACACAGCAGCGGGGCCCTGCCTCGGTCACCCCGTGAGAGTGGCGTGCAGCAACGGTCCTCTTTTCTGAACTTGGTGAATCAGACTGCTTGGTAGTCACTCTGCGGGTGCGACCTTCTCTGCTCTGTGACCAAGTGTAACGGTTTCTGTCCTCGGGGAGCTAGTTGCTTCCTGCCTGGCGCATAGTAGGTCACCGTTAGGCCCCGCTTTCCTCTGTGTCGTCACCCGGAGCGGCGTGGACAGGAGAGCTGGAGGCGCTGGTCCATGGATGGCGTGGCTCCCTGGTGTGCAGGGATGAGGGTCACCTGCCAGCAGTGCCTTGGCGCTGGCAGCTCTTTGTTTGGGTTTTTAAGAATTTTTAAATGGCGTGAGTAGGCCAGGAATGGTCATTCTGCATCATGTGTGACCACCCCTTCCTGCTGCGCAGCCTGGTCACGTCTGTACCACTCCCTGTGGCGCTGGGGACTCCGGTGGGCATGGCCAGCTGCCCCCCTGGGTGCTCTTTTGTTTACTGTCATCCTTCCAAATTTTAAAAAGACTTTAAGAACCACCGAGTCATCAAGTGTAGAAACGACAGGCATTCTCCACGCGCTGTTGCCGGCCGTCATTCCAGGGGCTTCCCTCCCGCGTCTTCTGACTCTGCAGGCTGGAGTCAGAGGAGGCGTCAGAGCGCCACGAGCCAGCAGAGCTGAAGCCAGGTGTGCTCGCTCCCGTCCTGCTCGCTGCCGTGTGACAGGGCGCCTGCGCCTGGTGACTTCCAGCAGCTGCTGTTCTCCTTGCTCAGAGTGTGGCTGAGCAAGGGCTCGGCTGGGAAGGTTCTTTTGCTGGTCTTGCTTGGCCTCCTGCCTTTGCAGTCAGATGGTGGCTGGGACTAGAGCATCCAAGATTGTTCTTCACATGTGTGCGCCCCTTGGCAGGGAGAGCATGGAGATGTGACCACGTGGCTACCTTGGGCTTCTGTGCGTGGCGGGTGCTGCCCAGGGGGTGTAGTATTTCTGGGGGCACAGGTTGCACCTGCTAGTGTCTGGGTGAGGATCCCCTGTGTTGACTATGGGAAGTGCCACAGCACTTCGGGTAAGTGCCAGCAGGCACGGGTCATTGGGATGCCAGAATAACAGACTTTCCCTGTCCTGGCAGGTCCTCTCTGGAGAGATGGAACCAGACAGGTTCTGGACTTTGGGACTCAGGCACCTCTGAGGGAAAACATGTGGCACCATAATGAGAAAGGAGGCTAAATGAGGTTGGCAAGATGGCGAACTCCATCCTTCTCCAGCCTGGCTGCCGGAACGCTGAGAATTGGGGAATTCCTCTCTGAGGAAAAGGTTGCTGTAAAGAAGGAACATTCAAGTGCTAGGATGATCTCTTGAAAATCCTAAACATAATTAAAGAAATGAAAAAATTCAATAAAAGGATTAGATGATACAACTGAGGAAATCTCCCAGAAAATAGAGCAAAAATGAAGAAATGGTAAATGGAGAGAAAAGAAATTAAGGAGCCAATACAGGAAACCCCGCAACAAGCTATTAGAATACGTGTCGGTGCTATTCTGGGCTGTTTTCCATATGTGGAAGCTGAGGCTTTGATAGGTGAATGATTCCGGTAGCACCTGTGGCCAGCCCTAGGAGAAACCCAGAAGCTTCCTTTGTCACCCAAGAATAGAACAGGCAGGTGAGTGCCACTGGGTGTCATGTGGGTGAGTGGCCCCAGGATCGGATGGAGTGCCTGACCAGCATGTAGGGAACAGCCAGTCTAGATGAGGTCTCCGTCTAAGATTGGCCTTTGGGATCACTAGTCTAGCATCGGAAATGCTGCATGCAGCACAGAGAGGCAGCGGGCAGCGTAAGTCCATTTGCCTTTGTTTTCTGCCAGAGATCAAGGTCACAGCGGAGGTGGGAGAGGATGGGGCGGCACTGGAGGAATTGCGGTTATGGGCGATGCTGGAGAGCAAATACAGAGAACATTCTGGAAGCAGTAGGACGGTGGCTACCGCGTCTCACCCCGACCCGCTCCATCCTCACCAGAGCACGGCCGTCCTGACAGAGCCCAGAGCGGGGTTGTGTTGATCAGGCCCCTTATCGCTCGTACCCCACACACAGCAGAAATTCAAGGCATTTTAGAAGAGATGAATCCAGAAACGAGATTCTGGAAAATGAAAAACACACAAACTCTAGAAATAGCACCGGCGTTCCCACAGGTGGTGCAGCAGGTGCTGCGATAGGCACCCCGAGCGCGTCTGGACAGTGCGGTAGGGGAGAGCGGCGGTGTCGTGCGTCTCGCGGCTAGGGCTGTTTCCTCAGAGAGGCTGGACTGTCAGTGTTCTTGAACGCCTGGTGGATGTATGGTATGTTAGCAAAATACGACGGTGAGAATTATCTAATATGTCGTGCCACAGTTGTGGAAATGAACGGAATGTCTCTCAATGGTTCTTGCTGCAGATGCCGGCCAGATGTGCTGCTCTGGGGGCTGCTTTTTGCTTCTCAGCTGGCGCTGATGGCAGTCAGGGTGACCTGCTGGTTAGAGGGCTGCGTGCCCTAATCATGCGTGGTGTGCATGTCACACACATCTGTGGCCAATGTTGCAGTGGTCAAGGCGGAGAGCCCCGAGCCTGGCGGGCAGACCTGACTTTCACACCCAGAGCTGAGGCATGAGCTGGTGTGTCTGCCCTTCACACGCGAGGGCGCACACATGTTCCTCCATGTTGCGTGACGCACCAGGCAGCCACATTTTAGGAGTTGCTAGGTTGTAAAATGGTGGTTCCATGTAGAACACTGACAGCCAGCTGCTCGGAGAGCTGCTCCCGGCTTGACAGGCGAGCCCAGAGGTCGTGCCCGCTCGGAGAGGCCCTGGTTTAGAAACAGCCGTACAGGCGTGCCGTGCAGGAGGGCGCAGCAGCGTGTCAGCTGACGCTGGTGTTAGGTTTACGGGCTGGAGGAAATGGAAGCGAGCGGCCATGCTCGTCACGCCCCGGGCAGTATGGTAAGCAGCGGCCTTCCCACGCTGGGGTTGTAGGGGCAGAGCTAGTGACCATGTCTGCCAAGCGATTTAAGGGTGTTTTCAAGGAAAGGACCGTCCCCTGGCCCATTGGCCTTTCTCCCTCTGTCCTGCCTCCCTCTTCAGAGCTGTGATGGGTGGGGACGTGAGTAATGGCCAGTGGGCACAGTCGCTGTTTCCATTTGAATCTGTTTTTGCTGCTCAAGCGGCGTGGCTGTGGGCTGACCTCCGCAGGGTCTCTGGTGCCTGTGCTGAGTCACTCCGGGTGCAGTGCCTGGGGACGGTTCTATTTTTAGTCGCTCACAGCTCCGTGAGGGCGACAGGCGCAGTTGCAGGCACCACCATCTGGGTGCGCCCCCCACAGTGGCCCACTCCGATTCTAGTTGGTCCAGGAAGTGCATGTTTTGTGCACTGCAGAAGGGGTGCCTTCCTCCTCTGAGAAATAGAGGGCTTGAAAGTGTGAACGTCTGCCCAGTGAAAGGTCATTTGCTCGTGGCTGTTTCCAGCGCTCCCTTCTCTCAAAAGGTTGGTGCTCGTTCTTGCACTCCCAGACTCAGCCTCTGGCCTGCACCCTCCTCGCAGCCACGCCGAGGCCCGGGCCTCAGGCCTTGGGCCTCCTGCAGCCTGTGGGGGAAGCAGAACCCCGCCTCCACACGCTCCACATGTCCTCTCTGCTCTTGGGGGCCGTCGTGAGTGTCCACCTTCCGCAAAGAAAAAAGACCCCTGTTTCCTTTAGACCACGAGCACCTGAAGACCCCAGGTGAGAGCCTCGTGGTTTCCCACTGTCCCGAGTCTGGTGTGGGGCCTGGCTCGCCCGCACTGAGGAGTGTTTCTGACGGTCACTTTAAGCCATGGGATGAGGCTAGGGAGTCAAGGCCTTCTTGGTGCCCCTGGGAAGACAGAAGTCATTCTGGGAGGTTTGTTAACATTTTCGCGTTTTGTTAGTAAGTGCCATCGAATGCGCCTCGTTGGAAAAATGTGTGCTATGTGGTAAAATGTGTACTAAGATTAGTCAACTGGACGAGCAGGCCTGTAGTTTCTGAACTCTTTTTTTTTTTTTTTAATTTATGTATTTATTTATACATTTTTCGCTTTTCCTCTTGTCTGCTCCGCGGCGCCTTTCTCCTTTTTGAGCCTCCTTCGCGCCCGACCCCCCCGCCCCCCCCCCCCGAGTCCTCGGGTGGCGGCCCCCGCGGGGGGAGGGAAGGGGGCGCCCCCGCGCCCCCCCAGACCTGGCCGGGCGGCCAGTTTCTGAACTCTTGTGTGTTTAAATGTTGATACTGTATTTCTTTTGGAACATGGAAGATGTGTAAAGCGTTTCTAATCAGACAGAAGTGTGCACACAGCTGACGTGCGTGGAGCGCGCGGTAAAGAGCATGTTCTTTGTCGCGCAGAGCTCCGGCATCGAGACTCTGGTGGAGGAGCTCTGCTCCCGGCTGAAAGACCTTCAGAGCAAGCAAGGTAAGAGTGCTGCTTCCTGAGACGTGTCGCCCCCGCCAGGATGACAGTCCCCCGGGGATTTGATTGAGTGACTCTTAGAGTTGATTTCAAAAGAAGTAAAATAAGAAGCAGCAAGTCTTTGTGCTCAGCGTGTCTCCAGGGCAGCCTCACACACTGTCTTGAGGTGTTAGAGGCTTGGGGTGAACCCGCAACTGCCCCCCAGAGAGGATCCCTGCACCCTCCAAGGAGTGACACCCCACAGTGCCCTGCTGGAAAGATGTGCCATTTTATTTGTCTTCAAAGTGAAACTCAGAGACTGGAGCAACTTTTCTTCTTTCTCCCCCGTGCTTGCCTCGCTGTCCACGAAGGCCTCCAAAGATGTCCATGTTCATTATTTTAGATTTGCAATTAATTTCTGCCTTGCTCTCAAATTTTTGTGAAAAGCAGACTTGTCAAGCTCACAAGACCATTTTGCCTCACAAACCCACGTGGTTTCTTTTCCCTGCTTTTTGTAGGCCCTCAGGACGGGGTTGCACGTCAGGGCCTGAGGTCGCTACCTGGGCACCTTGACCCCAGTTGTGAGCCTTCCTGTTACGGGCGTGGTTCACTTGTATCTTTTAAATCTGAGGCCAAGAGTGTAATTCTTTGCCTCTGCTTCAGTTGATACGCAATCCTTACTCATCTTAGATGTTCCGCAACGGGTAATTGTAATGGAGAATCTTTACGCATTAGTGTTAGTCAAGATAATTCAACATGAATGAAGTCCATGAGGACAGAACTTTGTGAGAAAATATTTTTGGAATCCAAATAGTTGTACTCCTTCTGGTATAATTGATAAGTACACAGGGAATTTCTGTTTCTTTTTTTTTTTTTTTTTTTTAAGATTTTTATTTATTTATGAATGCAAGAGCTGGGGTACAGGCCAAAGATGCGGAGGGTGAGAGGACTCACCAGAGACAGAGTGGGGAGCAGAACAGGTAGACTGACCGAAACATACTGCTGAGGGGAGCAGCGGGTGAGCCAGGAGAGGTCTGCTGCGCTATGTGGGCAGCTCCCTGGCCGGCCAGGGGATTGAACTGGTGCTGCAGAGGCTGTGGATAGCTTCATTGTGTGGTGTTTAACCCCCTGTACCACCAGGGAGGCCCGATTTCTGTCTCTTAATTAATTGCCTCTAAAGGACTGTACCACTTCGTGGGCCATTGTTAATCTGATTTAGCCAGAGAAATCCCTCTGGCACTGAAGGAAGAGATTTTTATTAAAGACAGACTGGGGTCTCCCTGGTGGTGCAGGGGTTAAAGTCTCAGCATTGTCAAGCTATTGCCAGCCACTGTGGCCTGATTTCGATTCCTGGCAAGGGAGCTGACCCACAGGGCGCAGCAGACCTCTCGTCTCCCCGCTGCTCCCCTCAGCAGTGGATTTCAGTAGATCCTCCTGCTCTGCTCCCCGTTCTGTCTCTGGTGACTCCTCTCACTGCCCCCCCCACATCTGGCCTTCACCCCAGTTCCTATATGCATAGATAAATAAAAATAAATCTTAAAAAACAAAAACAAACTGGTATAGAGTTCTTTTTAAACCATAAAAGCCTATGTAATTTCTGAGTAAAGTTGCATGAGAAGCTTTTTAAAACACAAGCATTTATTAACTAGATAATAAGGTAAATCTGTCTGAATTTTTGTTTCATAACAGAAGAGAAGATTCATAAAAAGTTAGAGGGCTCCTCCTCTCCCGAGGCAGAACTATCCCCTCCAGCGAAGGATCAAGTGGAAATGTATGTAAGATTGTGAGCGTGGGCTTTGCGGAGACCAGGCTGGCTGCTGGTACATGGCTTGCGGTTTCTGTTCACCTACTCTTTAGTTTCACCTTTTAGAATTCAGGAGACACTGACTGCGTGCTTGCTGTCACACAGAATTCAAAGGTGGATAAGCTGGTCCTGTCCTTACCGCACATGGTGAATCAATAGTTGTGAAACAAGTGAGTGAAACAGCACGGTTATTACTAGTGCCCTCTTCACATGCTGTCACGTCAGTCCTTGGAGACAGCTGTGAGGAATGGTGCTTGTCCTCGCCTCACACTGAGAAACCTCATTCCCTGTGTGCTTATGAAGGGAACAAGGCAGGTCACTGACCTGGTTGGACTTACTTCCTAAGATGCTGTTAGCTCTTTCTTTGTGAATGGTTAGTGTGAAGATTAGCTGCATTGAAAGCAGACTTCGCTAGTATTTATTTTATTTGAATCTTCTGAACTCCTAAAGCCTAAGGAAGAGTAGCATTTGATTGGTCTGTGTGGACCTGCACTGTCTGACTCAGCCGCCAGAGGCCTGTGGCCCGTGGGCCCCTGAGCTGGGCTGTTCAAGCAAGCTGTGCTAGGTGAGAGTTTCCCCTGACCGGAAAGCTTGGTGCAAAACATAGTGTAAAAATGTGGCATTAGTACTCAGTATTAATTTCATGTTGAAATGGTAAAATCATGGGTGTATTTGGTTACATAAAATATATTGAAATTCATTTCACTTGTTTCTTAGACGTTTCATGTGATTCCTAGAACATTAAAAATTACACATGATACAACAGATTTCTGTTTGACACTTTTGGGATAGACTGAAACTTGAGAATCAAGTGTAGGATTAGGCCCCATGAAAACTCACTACTTCCCAGGTGACCTTGACTTGATGCCTGCAGGACTCAGTCCCTGGTGGCCAGCCTGACTCCAGACGCCTCCTCTGGCACTGTCCCACTCCACTGTTAGCAGTGGCTGCCCGTTCCCTCACCAGGTGGCAGCTCGCCCTACCTTGGTTCCAGGCTCTCGGAAGCCAGCCTCTCGTTTCCCAGGGGTCGTGGTCTGGTCAGGCTTCGTGCCATGAGCACAGCAACGTGTCCATGTTGGCACACAGGCCCCACGCCTCAGCACTAGATCCGGCAAACTACATTTTTGGAACTTCGTTTGTTTTCTCTGATTGCTGTAGGCCTCACTGGCATCCTCTTTTTCTGAACATTTGAGCGTGGTAATCCCTGCCATTTCTGAGGTTTCTTGGGACACAGTGACAGTGAACAGCACTCCCTCAATGAGGCCTCTGACTCGTTACACATGTCACTTTCCTGACCCCCTACAACTCTGCGGGGTCGATACTCCCCTCACCTCATTGTAGGTGAGGAAGGTGAGCCGCAAAGGCCGAGTGACATGCCCAGGTCACCGGGCTTAGTGGCAAAGTCAGGATCGGGACTCGGACTGTGACTTACAGACTCGTGCTCTTGACTGCCTTGCTGTCTGACTCTGCAGCTGTGTCTGTCCCCAAGGCTTTCAAGGGCCTTGTGCAGTTAGTCATGATCGCCGCCTTCCAGTTGAGGAAATGCACCAAGATATTATTAGTTAGCTTAAAAATCACAAGCATGGTGAGTAGCTGAGATTCAGCTTCATATACTCTTATTGAAGATTGCATTTTTCCATGCAGTGTTTGTCATTTTTGACTTCTTAAATTAAAATTCAAACTTTGAAGATAAAAACCGTCATCTTACATATTTTCTTAGAGCATATCTCAGTGCTTGATACGTAGGGATAAGTGTTTCGCTGTACTGTTCAGTATTTCAATGTCGGTCATTAGAGGATGATGTAGATGTCGATTATTAGGGTGGACGGTCCCATTCCCCCGCCTTGTGATGTGCTCTTAATGCATCTGACACACGCTCGTGCTCACTGTTGGAATTCTTGGTTCTGTTGTTCCAGGTACTATGAAGCGTTTCCACCACTTTCGGAGAAACCCGTCTGCCTGCAGGAAATCATGACTGTGTGGAACAAGTCTCCGGTCTGTTCTTACTCTCGCTCTTCTTCGTCATCCACAGCGCCCCCCGCCAGCACAGACACGTCCTCCCCCAAGGACTGCAACAGTGAGGGCGAGGCCGTCAAGGGCAGAAGCCACGAAGCGCCCACCACTGCACATGAGAGAACCCAGAGCAAAAGCAAAAATGAGAAGGAGAACAAATTTAGTAATGGCACCATGGAAGAGAAGCCTGCTTTGTACAAAAAGCAAATTCGACATAAACCTGAAGGAAAGATTCGCCCTCGCACATGGTCTTCCGGCTCCAGTGAAGCAGGCTCAAGTTCAGGTGGTAACCAGGGGGAACTAAAAGCATCCATGAAGTGTGTGAAAGTGAGACATAAGACACGAGAAATTCGAAATAAAAAAGGGCGGAATGGGCAAAACAGGCTGTCTCTGAAGCATGGTGAGAGGGCAGAGAGAAACACTCACGCTGGAAGCAGCAGTAGCAGCAGCAGCAGCAGCAGCGGGTCCATCAAACAGCTGTGCAAACGGGGTAAGCGACCCTTAAAGGAGATGGGGCGGAAGGACGCGGGGAGCACCGAGGGCAGAGACCTGTACATGGAGAGCAGAAGCGAGAAGGAGTATAAAGAGGAGCCTCTGTGGTATACCGAGCCGATCGCCGAGTACTTCGTTCCTCTGAGCAGGAAGAGCAAGCTGGAGACCACATACCGGAACAGGCCAGATGCAGGCGGCCTGACGTCAGAGGCGGTGGAGGAGCTGTCTGAGTCAGTGCAAGGTCTTTGCCTCAGCAGCAATGCTATTCATAAAACATACCTCCCGGCAGGTACTTTCATCGATGGTCATTTTGTCGAAATGCCTGCGGTTATAAACGAGGATCTTGACCTCACTGGGACCTCATTCTGTTCTCTCCCAGAGGACAACAAATACTTGGATGATATTCATCTCTCAGAATTAACCCACTTCTATGAAGTGGATATTGATCAATCCATGTTGGATCCTGGTGCCTCAGAGACAATGCAAGGAGAAAGTCGGATTTTGAATATGATTCGACAGAAAAGCAAAGAGAAAGCAGATTTTGAGGCAGAATGTTGCATAGTGTTAGATGGGATGGAGCTGCAAGGGGATCGTGCAATACGGACAGACTCCACCAGCCCCGGGGGTGCCGAGGGCTTCTTCCTGCAGGACCTCGGCGGCCTGGCGCAGTTCTGGGAGTGCTGTTCATCCAGCTCTGGCGATGCTGACGGGGAGAGCTTTGGAGGTGATTCTCCCATTCGGCTCTCTCCGCTCTTAGACAGCACAGTGCTTGAGCCGCGCTTGCTCGCTGGCAACCAGGAGCTCTTTTCAGATATTAATGAAGGATCTGGTATAAACTCTTGTTTTTCAGTGTTTGAAGTGCAATGCAGTAATTCTGTTTTACCATTTTCTCTTGAAACACTCAACTTGGGAAATGAAAATACAGATTCCAGTGCTAATATGTTTGGGAAAACGCAGTCTAGGTTGCTAATATGGACCAAAAATAGTGCCTTTGAAGAAAATGAACACTGTTCAAATCTTTCAACGAGAACGTGTAGCCCGTGGTCCCATTCAGAAGAGACACGTTCAGACAATGAGACATTGAATATTCAGTTTGAGGAATCCACGCAGTTTAATGCAGAAGACATGAATTATGTAGTTCCTAGAGTCTCGTCAAATTATGTAGATGAAGAACTTCTAGATTTTTTGCAAGATGAAACTTGCCAGCAAAACAGTAGAACTTTAGCAGAAATTCCTACTTTAGTTTTCAAAAAAAGATCTAAACTAGAATCTGTCTGTGGTATTCAGCTAGAACAAAAAACAGAAAACAAAACCTTTGAAACGACGCAGGTAGGGGGCGGAAGCAGCCCGCAAGGAGACGGCTACAGCTCAGGGGTCATTAAAGACATTTGGGCCAAGATGGCAGGTAGGAATTCTGTAGCCATGATAGAAATAGAAGGGATGGATGCCGAGTTGTTTCCGACAGATCTAAATAACCACTGCTGCTGTTTGGATGCTGAAGCGAAAATGGAGCCCCTCCAGGTGCCCAGTAAGGCTGTGCAGAGGTCAGAGTACCATCTGTGGGAGGGGCAGAAAGAGAACGCGGAGAAAAGAGCTTTTGTTTCTGGTGAGCTCTCGAAGGTGGACGGTGGTGATTACACGACTCCCTCCAAGCCCTGGGACGTAGCCCAAGATAAAGAGAGCACGTTCATTCTCGGAGGCGTTTATGGAGAACTCAAGACCTTTACTAGCGACGGGGAGTGGGCAGTGGTGCCACCCAGCCACACAAAGGGAAGCCTGCTGCAGTGTGCAGCTTCCGACGTGGTGACAATAGCTGGTACGGATGTCTTCATGACCCCGGGAAACAGTTTTGCTCCTGGCCACAGGCAGCTGTGGAGACCCTGCATGTCATTTGATCAGAGCGATCAGCCTAAGAGCGGGGAAAATGGATTAAACAAGGGGTTCTCTTTTATCTTCCATGAAGACTTACTAGGAGCTTGTGGTAACTTTCAAGTTGAAGACCCTGGACTTGAATATTCCTTCTCCTCCTTTGACTTGAGCAATCCATTTTCACAAGTTCTTCATGTAGAATGTTCATTTGAACCTGAAGGGATTGCATCTTTCAGCCCTAGTTTTAAACCGAAATCAATCCTCTGCTCTGATTCAGACAGTGAGCCTTTCCACCCCAGGATTTGTGGTGTTGACAGAACACAGTATCGGGCTATTCGGATCTCTCCTCGGACTCACTTTCGTCCAATTTCTGCATCTGAGCTGTCCCCGGGAGGGGGAAGCGAGTCAGAATTTGAATCTGAGAAAGATGAAGCAAATATTCCCCTTCCGCCTCAGGTTGATGCGTTTGAAGATCCACAGGCAGATCTAAAGCCACTGGAGGAAGATGCAGAGAAAGAAGGCCATTACTATGGAAAATCAGAGCTGGAGTCTGGAAAATTCCTTCCCAGGTTAAAGAAATCTGGAATGGAAAAGAGTGCTCAGACATCCCTGGACTCCCAGGAGGAATCCGCTGGGACGCTCCCGGCAGGGAAGCAGAGTCAGTGTGCGGGGTGCAGCGGGGGCAACTCTCTGGAAATCGACTTAGGAAGTTCAGAAGCAAATTGTAAAATAATGGCTCACTGTGAGGAAGAAATTAATAATTTTTGCAGTTGCAAAGCAGGTTGTCAGTTTCCTGCTTATGAAGATGACCCAGTTCCTCCGGGGCAGCCGGAAGAGGTAAGTGTCCCGTGTGTGGGTAGTTGAAAAAGGATTGCCCAGACTTGCAGCCAGCGGCCCACAGCCGTATCCAGCAGTGAAAGACGGTGGGACAGACAGTGAAAGATAAATTATTGGGAACTTAGCTTAAATCTCTTAAAATTACCGTTTTTATGATTTTACAGAAGGATGTAGAATGACTGGTATTTATAAATTTGAACTAAACATTTTCTGCAGAGAAAAGACATTCCAAAGTAAACCACAGGATACGAGCCTCTTCTGTGATGTCTTGACCAGCATGTGCTATGCTCAAAGCCAAACCTCACGCTCATGTCCACCCATCAAGGCTGGCCGGTCGGGAAGGGGCTGTTCACGCAGCGGAAGGAACAGCACAGGTGTCTTTACACAGCAACCCCTCTAACAGCTTTTGAAATGTTGATCAGTCACGAAAACTTACGTTTTACGTGCATGGTGAATTACATCTGTATCGTGGCACAAGTGAAAATGAGCAAGTGCAACCAGACAGCTTTGGTAGGACCTCTGTGGAGGCTCCTTTGCTTTCTGCCAAGTCCGTGCGCTCAGCCGCAGGTCTGTCAGACCAGTTAATATTGATAGTTCTGTTAGTGGGAGACATTGTGCTCTGACTAGTTCTGAGAAGTCGCTTGAGGTTACATGGGTTACGTAAGCATTACACAGGGCATAAGTAACCTTTCTCACAGAAAGGCCTAGTGTGTGAACTGCCCCTTTCGGCAGTCAGGCCGCAGTGCCCGGCCTTTTCCGGGATCAGCTTGTTAGACAGTTGGAGGTGGTTGGAAGTCAGGCCCCTGGGGCCAGAGAGCAGAGGAGTGGCCTCCTGGCTGCCCTGCACTCCCACCTTACACACCTTGTGCTCCTCCCACGAGGCTCTCCAGACCCCGCTCCTTCACCGATACATTCCCCGATTCCTCTCTGCCCCGCTACTCCACCCCTACCCCCCATCTGAGATCATCTCTCCTGTCTCTGAATTTTCCTGTACTTTGTTCTGCTTCTTTCTTTCGTTTTCCATTTTTGTGAGTTGGTCATGTGCTCTGCTAGAGTATAAGCTCCCTGCATGCCTGGACCACGCCTCCCGCGTGTGTGGGTGGGTACCTCGGTGTGGCCTGAGGGTGCGTGATGGGAGGGAGCCCCGCAGGAGCTCGAGAACCACTGCTCGCAGAACCACTGCTCGCCTGGACATCCTTACAGAGGCTTGAGTCCAGTTGAAACTGAAACTGGGGCCGCTGAGAAGCTATGTTGTTAGCTTTGTCTGTTTGCTTACGGCCCCACCTTTCAGCCTTAAATATTTCTCTTTGTACTTTGGATTTCACTTGGTTCCAGATTGGGAAGAGAGAACATGAGGAAAGAAGCAAGATTCTCCATCATGCCCTGCCTACTCCTTTGTCTCCTGGCACGCTGCTGTATTTAGGTGTTACCAGATGCCGCTTGTCTTGAATGTTCTTGGCCACCAGTGCCGCCCCCGGGGCGAGGTGGGGTGTCCTCGTCTGGCTGTGTGGGGGCGGCAGCACCCAGTTCCTAGCCGGCTCCGAGCTCACTGCCCAGGTTTACCTGAGCTGTGGGGAGACAGAGTGTCCTGAGGGGACAGTTTGGGGCCAGCCTGGGACCCACATCTTGTCCTCCCGCTCTCTGTGCCTGGTCAGTCCTGGAGAGTGCCTGGGAGGGTCTGCATCTTCCCGAGGACAGTCTTTGCAGAGAGCACGGGAGCCCCATGCGAAAGGTCGTTTGTCGCCGCCTGCCAGCACCAGTGCCTCAGTAGTCGGGCTCCCGGGAGGACTGGTGCCCGGTGTGAGGTCGGTGCCCTGCGCGAGCACGACGCTGTGCTTGCCCTCGCGGAACTCAGTCTAGCCGTGAGGAAGATCATTTATTCGCGTGGCTTGAATTCAGAAGTTACGAGAAGGTCCATACACAGTGAGGAGGCCCCTTCCACAGCAGCCACAGGGAGCCCTGGCGGGTCCCTCCCGGGTGTTCTGTGCCCGTTGAAGCCGGGACATGTTCATTCTGTCTCCTCCTATTTTTTCTTTCGACTGAAATGGCACTTTATTGTCATCACGGTTCCTTTTTGTTGTCTGCAGACTGTTCCACCGCACAGCTAGCCATTTCTTACTTTCTAAGGCATTTGAGCAAATGCAGCTTTGCGTACCTTGGTAGGTAGTGTGGCGGAGGTGAGGGCACCTGGGCACCCAGAGGTGCACTCCTGGCCTGTGAGAGTTGAGGAAGGTTTTCTCGACATACCCGAGCAAGAGGGGCGGACGGGACAGCAGAGCGAAGGTGAAGAGGCCTGAAGCTTGTCCTACATGCAGGGCAACTGCCTCAGCTAATTCTTGGTTACTGAAGAGTAAAATGAATAGGGAGGCCAGCAAAGCAGGCCTCGGGTGTCATACCATTGGGGCATAAGTTTTTTTTTTTTTTTAGATTTATTTATTTATTTATTTATTTATTTATTTATTTATTTATTTATACAAGCACTGGGTACAGTCAGAAGCGCGGGAGGGTGAGAGAATTCACCAGAGCCAGAGCGGGGAGCAGAGCAGGCAGAAGGACCGAAGGACACTGCTGAGGGGAGCAGCGGGCGGCAGGAGAGGTCTGCGCGCCATGCGGGACCCTCCACCGGAGGCCGGGGAGCAGCCGGGGATCGAACCGGCACTGCAGAGGCTGCGGGCAGCTTTGCAACCCAGCGCTCAACCGCTGCGCCACCGGGGAGGCCCTGCGGCATAAGTTTTTATAGCAAAAATGTTCTCTTCATCACTTACCTGATTGCCGGCTAGTACCATGTGCTTTGACGCACAGAAACGCAGCAGAAGGCTTCAGGCATTTACGGTCCAGGAGAGGAGACTGGGTTCCCAGCGGACCACATGGCGTGGAAATTGCAAAGTGCTGACGAGAGGTGCCCCGTGCCCACGCTGCTTTAGCACCACACCCCACCGCACCGCCGCGTCACCTTCTGTTGTGGATTTGCAGCACCTGTGACTGCCAGGCACATGCGGGTCCCAGGATGTAAGGGACAGGCCGCTTTCCCCACTGCGCTGGGGCCTGGGAGTCATGGGCACCCACACAGGCCCCGTGGAGCCCTCTGCTCTCTGCTGTGCGCGCTCCCTCTTCATTCATGTTTCTTCCTCCTCTCCCAGAGAATGAGGCCTCTGGAAGCTGTTTCATTTTGAGACCCAAATCGCAAGACTGACTTAGCAAAGGCACGCTTTCCAGGCCCTGGTCCTAGAATAAAACTTGAAAGGAGGCCCCAGGCCCCTTCTTCCTCACCAGAGCGGGGGCTCTCTTAGTGGGGGATGAAGACCGCGGTCCTCTACCCAAGCGCCCCTTTCTGAAGCGTGGCCGGGCATCGTCCTCCTCCACAGGCTGGCCTGCCGGGCTTCCTGCACCGCATTTGGGTTGTCTCTCGACTGCCCCTTCTTCCATCAGTTGCCAGGAGCCGGCCCGGTGCCCAGCACCAGGTCTGAGGCGCAGACACCCTGCATGGGTGGGCTTGGGGTTGACCTTGGAGAGCTCAGCAGACAGGCCTCAGGGCCCGTGTGGGCAGCTGCAGCTGTGCTGGCAGGGGTGCGGTGGGTGGGCTGGGGCCAGGCTTCCCTGCAAAGGCGCAGTTTGGAGGGATGCTCGCTGGTGAGCATGGGAGCCGAGAAGCCACGGCAGGGGCCGGCCCACCCGGGCGGCGGCTCGCGTTCTGCTTTGTTTCCCAGCTTCACTCTTTCTCTTTCTCCGCTGAACCCGAAGTCGAGCGCTTGTACTGTGCAGACATTGTTTAGGCAGCGCTTGGGCCTCTTTGTGAGCAGCTCGACAGCTAGAAACTGCTGCGTCAGGAAGGAAGGCATAGTCGTCACATTCGTGCTCAGGGCCGCCGAGGATGGGGTGAGTGCCACCGTGGTCGTCGGGATCGACATTCAGATGGAGGATACAGAGAAAAGCCCCAAACTGGCAGAAACCCGCATGTTCCTTACGGTGATCTCAGCAGGAGGGAGAGAAACTGAGACTAAAGCCAAGAAGCTTTTCTTCAGGCCAGCAAGCCCCGAGTCCCGACTGTGCCAGGAGCTGGGGGCAGGAGCAGGGTGCACCCTGCCCTTAGAAGCTTTCCGCCTGCTTCCTTTCCGGTCTCGCTTCCTCTCTGCGCATGGCCGGCCTGGCCCCCGAGCCTGCTCTTCCATCCTGCGCTGCCCCGTGAATCCTTGCTCCCTCCCGCAGGGATCCTGAGGAGGGCAGCGGTGAGCTTGTGCTCAGCACACGGGTTCCTCGAACTCGCTCACGCCACAGCCTGCCCAGCGCCTTCTTTTTCCCAAACAACCTTGTTGCCTCCAGGTCCGTCTCTTCAGTAGTGCCTGGGCCGTCGCTGGTGGGGAGGGTGCTGCCCGGGGAGCCCTCGGTGGTCCCCTGGGCAGCCTGAGGAGCCTCGCAGGACAGTGTGCCTTCACAGGGAGACAGGGCCTTTCTGGGCAGGCCGTCCGTGCGGTGAATTACGTGCCAGGTGCAGGGACCCGGAACCCACTGCTGTGCTCGTTAGGCTCGGGCCTGGCCGCATCTGTTCTGGCCGTGGGTGGCTCTGTCTGCCTGGCAGCAGTCCTGGTTTGCGTTGTTAGAACACACGGAGGAAATCGCGAGGGTTCACCGCTCTCTCTGGGTAGGGGGCTGATCGTCCTTCAGTTTCTGATTTAGGAATACTTTTTGAACTTTGGTGAAAGTTTGAAGTGTGTTTCCCCCATGGTCCGAGCAGAGACTCCGTGCTCATCAGGAGCTAGCGCAGTTCGCATCTGAAGCCGGGCTGGCCGGCGGCGTGTCTGTTAGAACAGGGAAGTCCTGTGCGGTGTCCACAGCCTCTCCCTGGAGAACGCGTCTGCTGGGAGCGGGGGCTGCGGCTCGGAAAGGAGGCCAGGACCAGCCCGCCCCCCGCGGACCTGTTGTCAGCAAGCAAAGGCAGTGCGGGAGAGGGCGGCCCGGCGTGTCCGTGTCCGCAGACGGCCCCCGGCGGGTCTCCTCGTCCCCGCCCTCAAGGCTGTGCCTCGACCACTCGTGCGCGCCGCCGTCTGCCGCCCCAGCCAGTGTGTCCCCGGCCTCGCTGCTGCCGGCTGAGGGCTGCCGGGGCTTGCGAACCCGCCGGGGAGAAGGGCGCTTGGGTTCAGCCTCCGCCGCTGCCCGCCGCTTCCGTGCCACCTGGCCCCCGAGAGGCACAAGGGTGGGTGCCTGCCCTCGGGGCTCAGACCCTCGCCCGTGCCTTTGCCTGCTTTGAACTCGAATTATTCTCAGTTGTATTATTTGGCTTTAGTCTCAACTTCCTTCTGGTTCTCACCTGAGCAGATGATTTTCTTTGAAGACAGTGAGGTAATCTGTCTTCCCGAGCTTCTCTCCTTTCTCCTCCTGCTTGAGTGTGTAAAGAAGAGGACACCCCGCCTTGCGCTGGTGGAGACTCAGGGCTGCCTTATCACCCCTCACCCCCACAATCTAGAAGGTTGCCCTCCTCGGGGGTATTTCCTGTTGCATGTTTTTGCCTTGTAAGACTTTTTTTGTTTTTTAAGAGTTGTGGGGCTCCCTGGTGGCGCAAGGGGTTAAGACGCAACCTGTGAAGCTGCAGCGCGAGTTCCATCCCCGGCCAGGGAGCAACCCCCATGGCGCAGCAGGCCTCTCCTCACTCGCCCGCCGCTCCCCTCAGCAGTGTATTTCAGTCAGTCTGCCTGTTCTGTTCCCCGCTCTGTCTCTGGTGAATCCTCTCACCCAATGCACCTCTGGCCTGTACCCCAGCTCTTGTATGTATAAGTAAATAAATCTTAAAAAAAAAAAGTTGCATCTACTTCCAATATAAGTGCTTCTTAAGGTAAACCTACTTTATGTGCTCTGAACACGCCGGCATTTTTTTTGACACACCATTTCTAGAACAGTTAAAAAGGCAACAGCTATTTAAAAATCCTGGGTTTGTAGTTTATAACTAATAATGTTTGATTTTTTTCCTTTATCCTGAAAGTTTGTAAATTTTTCTATATTGGTTTGTCTAAACAGTTCCCCGTATTGAACACTGATGAGCAAGGAATGAATAGAAGTCAAGAAAAGCAGACCTGGTGGGAAAAAGCCTTGTACTCTCCTCTTTTTCCTGCGCCAGAGTGTGAAGGTAAGGAGGCTGGTTGGATTCATTCATTCTGTTTCTAATTCATTAAGAGCAATAAGTTCTTTTTTGTGTGTATATACAAGAGCTGGGGTGCAGGCCAGAGGTATAGGCAATGAGAGGATTCTCCAGACACAGTGGGGAGCAGAGCAGGTGAATCTACTGAAACACACTGCTGAGGGGAGCGGTGGGGAGGCAGGAGAGGTCTGCTGCGCCATGTGGGTCAGCTCCCTGGCCGGGGATCGAACTCAAGGCATGGTGGCAGGTGACAACTTCATAGTGCTGAGACTTAGGATTTGGGGGGAAACACACACCAGGGAGGCCCCAGAGCAATAAATTCTTTTGCAGTGAATATCAGTCAATAAAAAATTTACCAAGAGACTAGCATTGTTGCACACTGGGGACACTAATGAATGTGACCTGGACTCTACTCTTAAACTCAGTCACAGCGTGGCGTGGGAGAGGTGTGAGACATGGCAGTGCCCGCCACCGCGATCCCAGCTGTGTGGAGGCTGTAGGCCTGCCGCAGTGGGGACGCCAGGAGAGCAGGCCCCATGGAAGAACTGCTTGCAAAGGCAAGTCGAGGCGTCAGGGCCCAGCTGGCTGTAGCTGAGGCCAGAAAGGCAGGCAGAGAAGGTACTTCTAGGAGCTTGGGAGCTCTACAGAGTTGGGTGGAGTTAACATGCAGAAAGGGAAGACCATGAGGATTTCGAGTCTGAGGGTGTTGGAGTCGGGTGTGTGTGTGTGTGTGTGTGTGTGTGTGTGTGTGTGTCGAGTCTGAGGGTGTTGGAGTCGGGGGTGTGTGTGTGTGTGTGTGTGTGTGTGTGTGTGTGTGTGTTTTCCTGGCATTTGAGCGGAGACAGAATTGAAGACCCAAAGGTTCCTGCTGGGATTCATGGGTTTTGTCGAGAAACTCCAGAGGCTGTTGAGTGACTTCCGGTGAGAAGTGGACACAGGATGGTCAGAGTAGACCTAGTGCAGGAAGGGGCAGGAGCAGATGTGGCGAAGATGATTTTTTTAGTCTGCGAGCCTCCTTGGTGGACCCCAGAAGCTGTGCAAAATCTTGATCTGAATTTTTGAGAGAAGGAGGAACCGTGGTGGGGGGCTAGATGCATTGGCCCAGAGGCAGCTTGCCCAGATGGCTGCTTACTTGGCTGCTGCACTGAGTTAACTAATGTCTCTCCTGTCAGCCCTGAGGAACATGTGAACCCTCTGTGAGTAGTTACATGCACACATATCTGGCCTGTCTCCCAGCTCATGGGTCACCACTTGGGGCCTGCATGCACTCAAGGCTGAGCACACCCCCATGTTCAGGACACCCCACTGGCCTTCCTCCTTGGCAGCCTTGCAGGGTTGGCGGCGGGTGGGGGAGGTCTCCTTCTGAAGGCACAAAAGCGCTTCCCAGCCCCACCTCCCTTCTCGCCCCCCTGCAAGTTTCCTGTCATTGGGAGAGCCCCAGGTGCCCACCCAGTTGCAGTGTCCTGCTTGGGGAGTCTGCTCTCGTGTCAGCTGACAGGAGGGTCGCCCTCCATTACTCTCAGGACATTGTCAGTCTTCTGTGCAGTCCCTGCAGAGGCCAGTGAGGTGCTGCCCCCAGGCTCTGAGAAGGAAGCAGAGTCTCGGGTTGAGTCGTTTGCCAGACTCCGTCCCGACTGCCCTGCGCAGCAGCCCAGGTCAACGGGAGCATAAACCGACCTTGGTGTCGGTCAGTCTGGCGCGCCTGGGTTGGAGCGTCGGGTCAGAGCACCTTTCGCACATAACATTGGTGAAGACCTGGGGGCCCAGAGCCCCCAGGAGGGTTAGGGAGAAAGGGAGGGAGCAGCAGGCAGCCCCCTTCCCACGGAGCTGAGGCTGACTGTTGACTGTCCAGCACAGGAGCACCTGCCCTGTAAGGGTATCAGGCCGCCTGGCACCTTAGCCCTGTTCTGTTGTTAGTCAGCAAGGGATCCAGGCCCAGCTCTTAGCAGCAGGCCCTTGGTTACCTCCACTGTCCCTTGGGGGCAGCTGTCAGTCATTTTTGTGCAGAATCTTCTCTCTGACGGTGAGGGGGTCTGTGGAGAAACTTCAAGTGGGCGAGGGCTGGAAGCTCGTCGTTTGAGTGACCGTTACCTCACAGCTGTGGGTGGAATCCCTGCCTGGTGCCTGGGGGGACATTATGGAGCATCCTCTGGCAGCCTTCCCCGGATGGGTGCAGTCTCTGGAGGTTAGCCAGGAAAAAGGCCGCTCCACCCACTCAGTGGAAGTGGCTGGACGCGCGTCTCTGCTGCTCAGCGTCCTGTGTTGTGCATGTAGAATGATCAGCCAGCGAACTCCAAGTCAGGGGCTGACTGGAGGGCTCCCATTGTCCCCAGAAAGGAGGAAAAAAGGCTCACCCCTCTTAAGAGTGGGGCACCGAGCGCCTCGAGATCTGTCAGGCCCTTTGTTCTGCCGCCTGCTTGCCTTGCTGTCCTTGTCCACACCCACTGGCTTCTGACAGGCCTACCTGTGGCGGCATCATTCTGGGCACTGGGGATGCAGAGGCAGATAGGCCGTGTCCCTGCCTTCCTGATCAGGTGAGTCTGTCACAAGCCATGTGTCAGCTGGGGCCGCTTCTCCTGCAGGGAGAGGCACCAGGCAGGAGCCCCGCTGTGCAGGAGGTGCCCCACGTGCCCGGCAAGGGGGATCCCTGGGAGATGGTGGGGCGAGCTCAGCCAGGCAGCGAGGCCATGTGTGTCGGTGCCCTCACCACACTCAGCAGCGGGGCCCTGAGCGCTCGGAAGGCCTGTTGTGAGCGTGTGTATTTGGTCGGAGAGAGCCGTGCAGGGAAACAGTGTGGCCAGCAGGTGGGGGCTCAGGCTCAGGAGACAAGTCTTGCTGGAGTTGAGCAGCCGCTAGGCCTTGGGCGGTGACTGGTCTTGGCTGCCTCCTCCACTTGCATCCTGCCTGGAGGAGGGGTGTGAAGAGCAAGGCGCCCCAAGCCAGCTTAGAGGTTAGCCATGACCCGGAACGTGGTAGCTGTCACCTTGATTCCTGCGGCCTGGCCTCACGGACTCCCGAGGCAGGAGGAAGGGGGTGGATCTCGCTCCATCTAGAGTGTCTCCTGGTCAGGGAAATAGTCACTTTCCCACACCCTCGGCTTCCCCGTGCAAGTGGTGACCCAATGTGGTGTGGGCTGTGGAGCACAAGGTGTCCGCCAAGATGGGTGAGCAGGTTTTCCTGCCTGTCCTCAGGCGTGGGCCCAGCCCGGCCTTTGGCCGGAAGCAGCTGTAGGTGGCTTCACTGTGTGGGCCGGGGCTTTATACCTGTCTCAGATGCACAGAGGTCAAGGCGGCAGATCCTGTTTTAGAGATGAGGAGACTGGGGCTCCAAGGGGTTCAAGAATGTGCCCCAAGTCACATGCAGGCGAGCAGCGTTCCCAGGCGTGTTCTGGGGGCTGCTCCTCCCAGAGCCCGGATTGCTGTCATGGGCCCAAGCTGGCAGCTGAGGTTGGCTGAGGCAGCTGGCACTACAGCGAGTGCAATGTGGCCTGGCTGCCTTGGTGAGAGGCCAGGTAGGGTCCCTATGGCCTTCTCTGTGGCACAGGCCCGCCCCGTGGTGGGAGGTTGCAGCATCACTGAGCGCGGCCTGTGTGTCCTCTCTGTCCTGCACAGGGTGGCGGGGCGGAGGCTAGAAGCTTGGGAGTCAAGGCCTAGCACGCAGCGGTGTCCCAGCAGCCTGCCTGGCACTCCTCTCAGCTCCAGTGCCTGTCCCATGTGGCAGTGGACAGGGCCCGGTCTGGACGAAGACCAGGGGTTCCCAGCCCTGCCTGTGCATTGCACTCACCTGGGAGCTTTTCAGAAAATGCTAAGTCCCTAGGCCCTTCTGGTTCACTGACAAGCTCAGGTGGGCCTGGACTTCCGGCTGCTCTTCACGCTCTCGGCGGGATCACAGGGCACAGCTGGGGATGACCATTGCTTACAACGAATAGCCAGGCCCTTTCTACACGCAGCTTGCAGTCCGTCCCCTGGGCACTGGCCGGCCCCTGGCCGCCCTCCCCCGGCCCCTGCTCCCACCCCTCCGCCGGGAGCCCAGCACTGTTGAGCTAGGGGAGAACAAGCAAGGGGCTCCCCCGTTGTACTTTCTGCGCCCCCCCCCCTCGTTTGTTACGTGAACGTGTGCGGTGCATCGTCTGTGTCCACGGACGCTGGAGAGCCGGCCTGCGGTCCGTGCGGTGCTCCTGGGCACCCGCGGGTGCTGGCGGGCGAGTGTCTCCGGCTGAGCAGCAGGACTGTGTGGGCCCCGGCCTGTTCCCGCGGCCTCAGCGACACCGTTAGGAGGGTTTGTAAGCCGCCGCCGTGTGTTGTCGGACACGCTGGCTGGCGCGTCGCCCTCGCTGTCTGCCCGAGCGCTCCGGGGGTAGCAGGCCTGGCGAGGCGCGCGTTTTCAGCAAAAAATGAAACAAGAATGTCTGTTTCGTGACTGTGTCTTAATGGACTTTCCCCCTCTCCCTCTTTTCCCTCCTCCCGTCACAATGGTTAAGAACCTTACACACACGCCAGGGCCGAGAGTGGCATGGAAGAGCATCCAGATGCTAAAGAAATGCCCAGTAATGAAGAGCGTCTGTTAGATTTTAATAGGGTAAGTGGACTGTCCTGCTCCTTGTTCTTCACTTGCAAAGGGCCACCGCCCCTCCCTCCCCTGCCCCCGCCCCCCAGGCCGCTGCCCTGGAGTCCCGAGTCCCGGGCTCCGGGTGTGACCGTCCTCCTGGCCTTGACCACCCCGCTGCGTGGTCTCCCGCCTCCACCGCTCACTGCCAGGGCTCCCCCAGATTGCGGTCCCCGCCCACCTCCCCACCCCCCGGTCCTCACAGCCGCCAGAGGGCATCTGGATAAACACCTGACACCCACCCCTCAGGGTCCGGGGGTGGGCACCCTTCCCATCTCTCGGTGCACGCCACGAGGGCACGCCACGAGGGCACCACCAGGCTGCTGCTCCGCCCCCCCGGGACTGCCTTTCTCTCTCTCTGCCCGCAGAACCCTCGGGCAGCCGTGGCCTCGACTGCACTCCAGCCCCACCTGTCTCCCTGCCCACTGGCCTGTGAGCCCCTGGGGTGGAGGGGTCCGTCCAGCCAAGACCTCGCCCAGCTAGGCAGGCAACCCTGCCAGCGACTCGGGAAACGTCCTTTCCTCTCAGAGGTGGCTGTCAGCGTCAGTCCAGGCCCCACTGGCCCGCGGGCTGCTGGCCCTCTCCCGCTCCCCTCGGCCTGTCGGACTCTGCATGCAGGCCGACCTTGACCCCCACCAGTCTCGCCTGACTCAGCGTGGGGCCGTGTTCTGCCACCAGCGTCAGCCCCCAAGCTCGACACCGCCCTGCCGCCCCTTTCTCTAGCCTGTGTCTCCCCCTGTCTGCTGGTGCGGACCCCCAGCTCCCAGCCCCTGGAAGCCTCCGCCTCGCCGGCTCCCGTCCCTTGCTCAAGCCACCAGCCCGGCCCAGACTCCGCACGGGCCTTTCCTTGGGTTGCCTGCTCCTGCTCCTTGTCCTCTCCACTCTCCATCCCACCCAGCAGGACAGTGAGCTCAGTGTTGCCTCATCCAGTCCTCACATAGCCCTGTCAGGCCCGGACTGTCGTCCTGCCATTTGCAGGCAGGAAACTGAGGCGTGTAGAATTCAGGCCCTTGTATATAGCAAGGCTCTTGATGTGCAGCCCCCTCGTGCGGCACCTCTGTCCCCCGCGCCTGCACGGAAGGCCCTTGGCTGTTGTGCTGAGAGCGGCTCCCGCCAGGCCACACGCTCTGTCCTCATGCTCTGCCCGCGTGCCCTGCCCTCAAGCCCCATCCTGTGTTCCCTCCTTGGCATGGCTGACTTCCTGTGCCCCTCCCTCTTCTTGGGGGTGCTCAGCCAGACATAGTACTGCCACTTGGGTGTTGGGGGTGCTGGCTACTAGCACTTTGGGGGACTTTTTTGCTAGTTAGTATAACCGGACTGTGCTGGTTCTATAAGCAGGGGGGTTGCTAGTTGCTGTAACAGGACTTTGCTAGACTCTAACTCGGGGGCCTTGCTAGTTACTCTAACTGGGGGGCTTTGCTAGTTCTAAAACTGGGGTGTCTGTTAATTACTCTGGGGCCTTTACTAATTCTGTAACTGAGGCTAACTCTATAATTTTGCTAATTACTCTGACTTGGGGGGCTTTGCTAATACTTCTAACTTTAGAGTATGTGCTGCCGAGCTCAGTGCTGCCCATTCTGTAGTCGGGGCACTTGCCAGCTGCCAAACGGGGCTGTGGTCGCTGCGCCTGGCCACTGTGCCTGGGAGGCTCTGGCTAGCCACCACGCGCGGCCCTTGCTCTTACTCGTTTACTCGTCCTTGGTGGGAGGGGGAGCATTCCTGGCTACCGGGGAGCCCCGAGGGGGGAGGGGTGGTGCTGATTATTGTGACTGGGGCGGACACTACTTGCGAACTGTGCCCCAGGAGCCAGAGAGGTTAAGCACCTGCCGGGGACTGCCTCGCACCACAGAGGTTTTGCTCAGAAGCCCCGGATCTCAGCAGAACCTTCTCTCAGAAGCAGAGCGAGGGTTCCGGCCGGCGCCGCTGCTGCTCCAGGGGGAGGCCTCTCCTCGGAGGACCGCTTGCCGCCTCTCCGTCTGCGGTGTCCCCGTGGTCGGCCCAGCGCCGCCTGGCCCGGGGTGGCTGGCACCTTGGCGTGCGGTCTCCGGGGCGTGGGCAGGCGTGTGGTGGTGTCCGCCACCCCTCGGAGCCCCATGTCCCGTCCTCCGGTCCTCCCGGCCGGCCCCGATGTATCCAGCGTGGTGAGGGCGCTGAGTGGAGAGGGTTCGGGTTGGGGTCCCGCGCGCGTCGGGGCGGAGGGGCGGTTTTGCTTGGAAACAGTGAAACGCTGAGTCTCCACAGGAGGATCCCTGCGGTTTGCTGCTCGCCCTCCGCGTGAGGCTTCTCACGCCCTTGTGAACAGTCTGGCTCTTTGACGTGTTGAAACTGTCCCTTTGGTCCTAGGTGTCTTCTGTTTATGAAGCGAGGTGCGCGGGAGAGCGAGACTGTGGCGCGAAGGCCAGCGGCTTCCGCAGAAAGCTGTGCTCGAGCGGCAGCTCCGGCTCCGAAGACACCGGCGCAGAAGGCGGAGGCGAGTGGGCGGGCCCCGGCCCGGAGGGGCTCTTCTCCCGGACTCACCTCTGAGCCCGCGGAGCCCCCCGCTCCCCGCGTGAGACCGGTCACCCAAGAGCAGCACTTAGGCGGCTTCTTCACGTAACTGATCCCGATCAGTGATTCTCTTTCTCTTCTCGCTTCTCTTAGAGTTGAGGACAGCTCTCCTGGTGAAGATTTTTTTCCAGCTGTTAAATTCTTGGCTCTTTGAAATAGACTAGATAGTGTTGTCCAATCAAGAATGGGTGTGCATGTGCTTGTCCTAGAAGTATCACTGCTTTTTGCATCTTACCTGCAGGCCCCTCCTCCTAACTGCAGCCGTGCGGCCCCAGCCCGGGCAGCCTCCGCGCTTCAGAGACGCTAGCTTGGGACGCTTAGGCTCTGTTCTCTGAGAACCGGGACATTCACACTCGCCCTGGCACGGATCAGTGCCTTTCTGAAGGCAAGAGGGAAGCATGGGTGGCGCCTCCACGGTCTTCATTCAGTGCAGCCTCACGCACGCTGGAAGTAGGACCCGCAGGGGTATGCTTTAGAGACTTAGAAAATACTGTGTTTTCTGTCTTAGGATTTCCCCCCAAAGTATCATGGCAGATACTGCGGTTTGTGACTTTCTTGCTAACAGAAGAAGCCAGGGCTCTGGGGTGCGGGGTGGTGACGACACAGCCGGGGTGAGAGTGCTCCCTCAACACGTGCTGAGACTGCTGTTTCGTGGCACCGAGACACCTTCAAGGTGATTTGTGGCCAGTCTTCTGGGACGTGGTGAGGTCCCTAGTTGCAAATTGTGATCTTCTGGTGACTTAGAGAATTGGAGCCCCCAAAACGCAAAATTGTGAGCGTTTGACGTGACACCTTATCACCCCAAGAACCCTTGGCTGCTGCAGCTAGCTCCCCTTGTGCTGTGGTTTATTAGAGCTTAGATCACATTTTGTTTGAGAGAATGTTGAAGTTGGGCAAGTTGTGTGTGTGGCGGGTTGCGGGGCGGGCAGCGGAAGGGTTCTCCCGCCGTCGCCCCCTGACCTGGGAGCCGGGGCCCGCGCGCCGGTCTGCTCGTGCCTCCCCCTTCCCGGGGCAGCGCCCGAAGCTGGAGGAGCGACACTCGCCAAACCTAAGCATTTTGCCTTTTTATTTTCCAACTCGTTGTTTCCAAGGCCTCGTGTGTGAGGCGGCTTCGGCATGTCCGCAGCGTCAGGGGCTGCGGAGAAGCCTGCTGTGGTCCGGACCGTTTCACGCCGCCGCTGGCAGGCGAGGCGCACGCTTGGGGGCCGGCCGGGAGCTGGGCTGGCTGGGGGAGGCGCGATTCGCTTTGAGCGTTGGGTCTGGTGGCCTTTTCCTGACGATGGCACCGACGGCCCTGGGCCGTGGCGCTGCCCAGCTTCCGGGGTGCTGCCTGTGTGCGCCCCGCGGCCCCGCCGGCGTTGCCCTCGCCGCGTGTCAGGGCTTGTCCGATGCAGCACATCTTTTGACACTTTGAAGTGGGTGTGTGTGTGCGTGCGCGTGTGTGTAAGGTTTTATGTTGCTCTTATTTATTTACAGACTTTATAAGGTTTTTATGTATTTTTCTTTCTTCTGGAGCTTCCTAAAAGTTGATTAGCATCTGCACTGAAATATAATTTAACAGCAAAGGCAAAAAAGAATTGGAAGTTGTAAATTCCTAAAATCACTACAGTGACGATCAGCTTAGAAATCGTTGCTTATGTAGCAAAGACCAAATAAGTATATTTCAGACACAACCTTTAGCTCAGTTGACTGGGGACAGCTGCTTTTACCCCGGAGGGGCCGCCGGTGGGGACGGCACAGCCTCCCGACGCTGTGGGGGGCCCGGGCCTCCCGGGGGGATGGGTCCTCCGTGGGCGAGGGGACTAACAGGTTCTGTATTTATTGGTTTTCTTAGTGAAGGGACTGAGGCCTCGAGGCTTTCAGTAGCAGAGTTGAAAGTGTGATTTTAGTTTTGTGACAGAGTGATCACAAAGAAAACGTATTTTTTAAAAAGTTGGCAAAACGCTGAGACGCACTGTGGTATGAAGCGGGTTGCAAACCCATAGCACTGAAGGGTCGGTTCTCATTCCTCGGCTGAGATTTTTTTCCCGTGGTTGTATTGTTCTGATTTCACGTACACCAGAGTAACTGATTTTTTTTTGTTGTTGTTTTCTTGTGGAGTTAACACCAAATAAAAAAAAATTGAAAACAGTCGGTTGTCTTTATTCGTCGTAGCAGAGATTCCTTCCGAAGGACCCGAGCCACCTCTGGACCGCGTCCATCAGCGACACAGCCGCCCGGGCCCCGTCTCGCGCTCCCGGCCACTCTGCCCTCCCGGGCCTCGCCGAGCGTGCCGGCCAGCTGCTCTGCAGGGAGCGGCTGGGGGCCGTCTGCCGAGAACGGAGTCTGCTCCCCCAGCTCCCGCCCGAGTCTCGAGAAGACGCCAGCACTCTCGTTCTAGGCGGTAGGCAAAACCTAGTCCTTGTGTTTCGGGGGGGAAAACAAAGCAGCTTCATACACGTTCGCGTGATCGCTGGTCATCGTGGGAAGGAGCGTGCTTGTCAGAAGCAGTCGGCAGCTGCCCACCCGCCCGCCCGTCTCGTCCGAGAGGGCTGCCCCGCCTGCAGCCGCCCGCTCCTGGGTCTGGAGACAGCGCAGGGGGCGAGGCCACGCCCGAGCGTGGCCTTTGGGGCGTTTTCAGGACAGGCGCCTCGTGTTGCCCGACTCGCAAGGCTGGAACGGACGCTGTGCCCTGACATTTGGGTGGCGTCCGTGCAAGTGACGGCTGCCTGGGGTCCCGGTGGCCTTCTGGGTGGTGAGTGACAGCCCTGGGAGGTGGCCTGTCGCCAGGGAGAAGCCTGGCTGCTCGAGCAGCTCAGCACTGGCGGAGGCCTCATCCCGTGGCGGGGAGCAGCCAGGATTAAATGGCGCCAGCACCATGGAGCTCAGTGTGCCGGAGACCTCCATCTTGCCCAGATCCCACTGACTGCAAAAAGGGGGTCTTGGGGGTGTTGGTCAGTTGATTCCGTCAGGTGAGCTTTGGCATCCTTCTGGGCTCTCTGTCACATGTGCTGTATCAGTTGTGAGGACTCGCTTAGGGCCGTGAGCCCCGGCCCGTTGACTTCATCTGTGCCTGGTTGGGCAGCAGGACGGGGCCTTGTGGGAGGGGTGCGGCCCTGCAGACGCTCAGTCAGTGAGCGGGGCTGCCGTGTGCTTGGGGCAGGGGCCCTTGGGCTGGAAAAGAGCAAAGCCGGAGTGCGAACGGGAAGTTGCTGCCCCAGCCGCTCGGAGGAGAGGGTGCCGCCCGCGGGCTGCGCCTCGTCGGCCGCCTCCACCCAAGCCCTTGAAGGGCCTTCCAGCTGGTCAGACCCCACAGGGGCCTGCTCTGCAGGCGGCTGCCCTCTCAGGTGGGGTCACGTCAAAGGCAGGGAGCAGCTCCCAGTGCGACCGGGCCAGAGGGCAGCAGCAGACCCAGCTCGCCCGCTGGCAGCCAGCCTACCTGGCATCCAAGGAACAGAATGGGGTCTGGCCTCCCTCGTCCCCCCAGGGGACACCAACCGTGGGTCTCCCACTTTTGAGTCAAGTTCCAGGGAGCCAGTCGGGGCCCTAGGGTTGGGGGGGACCTTTGGAAGGGGATGGAAGGACAAGCCCTGGCTCGCCTGAACCCTGGCCTCTAGTCACAGACGGGGCCCTGCCCCTCATTTCCAGGCCGTCGAGAGGGCTCGCTGCTGGCTCCTGGCCCCTCGCCCTGGGAGAGGCTGGCGGGCCTTCCTCGGGCAGGGGGCGCCCTCCCTCCCAGTGCCTCCCTGGCTGTGGGGCCCTGGGGGCACCACCTGTTCCACCTATGGCTTCTTGAGACCAAGTGGTGCCCCGCGAAGCATCACCCTCTCGGGCAGAGCAGGAGCTCCCGAGTGCCAGGGTGGGGCCGGCGGGGGGACACGGGGCAGGACCCACACGCCCAGGTCCTCTTCCGACTCAGCTGCTGCGGGCAGAGCTGCCCACGCGCCCGCCGCCGATCCTGCCCGTCGACCCGCAGCGACCATCGTGAGGCTCACGCGGAAGCCCAAGGGGTGCACCGGGAGCACTGGCAGCCAGCAGCGGGCAGCTGTGTCTGCCATTGACTGGTCACCCCGAGGCCGCGGCCTCCACGCCCCCTCCCCCCGCCCCTCTACTCTCAGAACTTCAGGCAGAGGGGAGCCCCTGGCGGCAGCTGAGTGGACTGTGGGGCCCCGGGGGCTCACTGTGGGCTGAGCTGGAGGCCCCCGCGGACTGGGGGCCTGAGCGCGATGGCCCGGGGGACCCGGCGCTGGACAGGGAACCGAGGGAGTGGGGCTGGCCAACCTCAAGGGGCTTTCCCCCTTTGGAGGAACAGGTCTCCTGTGCCGGACCCCCAGACTCCAGGCCCCGGCTTCCCAGGGCTCGCCGCGGCATGGGGCAGCCCTGCCCCGGGCCTGACTCAGCGCCCCAGCGGAGGCCAGACCGCTCGCCCAGGCCGGGGCCGTATCAGCTCTGCTCGGGCCCCATTCCCCGTGGTCACCGCTGTGGGTGCCTCAACCCTGCCCCCAGCCCCTCCTGGGGCGCCTGCCATGCTGGGGGCTCGCCTCTGCGCTCGGGCCTCCCTCCTGCCCGTGGTGACCACAGACCTGGAGCTCGGGACCATTCTCAGAGCTCCGGTCCAGCAGCCCTTGTCCTCCAGCGACCCCCGTGGAGCAGGTGGCTCAGGCGGGGCTGACGCCTCGCTCCCTGGCCTGCTCCCGCACAGCTCCCGCCGCACCGCCCCTTCCTGGGCCTCGGGCTGACCGTGGGCCTCTGTCACGCGTGCACCTCCTGGCTCCTGCCTCGCGCCGGGAGGGCATCTGGGTGCAGGCGGGGCGACGGAGGAGCGGAGCCTCCTGCGGACCTTGACCTGGCCGAGGCTCGGGTGCCCTGGGGTCCTCTGGGGCCAGGCGTCTTCAGGTTGGCGTGGAGCCGCTGATGCAGAAGGATAAGCTCTGTGGACCTCAGTTGCTAATGGGGCCGGGCCACATCACGTTCCGCAACAGCAGGAGCTGCTCCGTGCTGGCCCCGGCCTGGGCTGGCGGTTTCATGTCTCTGAATCGGTGGGCACCTCGGCCCCCGCGCTCCCTCTTGCACCTCTCCCAGGGGAACTGGAGGGTCTTGCAGCCTGGCTGAGCTCCAGCTGCACTGAGCTTTCAGGAGCTTGAAGGAAAGGGGTGAAGGCCGCCCCCCCCCCCAACTGACCCCCAGGCCGGACATTTCAGGACTGTTCACTCCAGGACTCCGTATCCTGCCTCAGTGTCCCTGCCCGCAGCCCCGCCTGCCCCGGCACCTGAGGGGTGGCAGGCGAGTGGCTGGGAGGCATGAGGGGCCCTGCTCTGCCCTTCACGCCTGCGGCCCAGCCAAGGCCAGGGGCGCCGTCTCAGCAGGTGGGTGGAGGGAGCTTCCTGCAAAGGTTTCCCTCTGGGGCTGGGGCCGTCCCTGCAGAAGCAGCCCCACCATCCGTCTGGAAGACGTGCGGGTCCCTGGCCTCCTGTGACTGCAGGTGGGTGGCTGGCACTGCTGGCCGCCCCTCGCAGCCCGGGCTGGCCGGCGCCGCTGAGGTGGCGGGTGCAGGCTGCCTGAGCGGTGGGCCCCGCCTTCCCTTCCAAGCCTGCTCCCGGCCCTCCCGAGGGAAGCCTGGCTCCTACTGAGTCTTGGCTCCCAGGGTGAGGTCTTCATCCTCGCAGCCTCAGTTTCCTCATCTGTAAAGTTGGGGCGGGGAAACCCACTTTGTTAGGGGTGCCTGGCAGGTGCCGGTCCTGCTGTGTGTGAGGCCTGGCCGCCCGCCCTCGGGCCTCGGGCTGGAGTGTGGGGAAGTGGGAGGGCGAGGGTGCCGCTCAGAAGGATGTGGATTTCATCCTGGGAGCCACGGGGGCCACCCTTTGTGTCCTGGGTGAGTGGGGGTCTCGAGGGCTGGACAGGGATTTTAGAAACAGCTGTTGTGCTGCAAAGACGCTTCTAGAACTTTCACAGCTTTGAAAAAAAGATGGCGTGTTATTTCCTCCCTTCCCTGCAGTTGGACGAGGTCAGTGTCCAGCGCCCTCCGCGGTGACTGCCCTTGGCCTGCTGCTTGGCTGGGCTCTCCCCTGGCCTCCGCCTCCGGCCCTGGAGAAGACGGCCCGCGGCCAGCGGTCTTTGCGTGCTGCTGGGAGGCCCCATGGAGGGGGACTGAGGGGTGGTTGAAGCCACAGGCGCATCACACCAAAGACACGGCTCCCTGCTTTGTGGCCTCACGGGCGGGCGCCGAGCCACCGGGGGATGACGCGGGCCCTGCTGGCCTTCGGTGATGGTGCTGAGCTGGGAGAGCGGGGCCCACGGGGGCCCAGGAGACCAGGCTCCCCAGCCCGCCTGCTGCTCACCCTGCCCGGGAGCCCCGTGGGTCCAAAGCCGCAGACAGACGTCCCCATTTCTGGGGGAGGGGGGCGCAGGAGCCTGGTGGGGCGTTTACAAGGTTTGGGCAACGCGAACCGCTCTGAGGCGCCTGCAGCCAGGGAGCAGCAAGGCTCACCGGGGGCCGGGGTGGGCACAGCAAGGCTGCCCCGAAGGCAGAGGTGGACCGTCCACTCGTTCGCCCGGGTGTGGGGCCTGCCGCCCCACGGGGTGTGATGGGGGGCGAGTCTTGGGACAAGCGATGGCGGTGGGCCCTGGCGACGTCCCTTGGGGCAGAGACCCGGGGCGTGGAGGGGGAGCCCTGCTCCTTCCCGAAGAGCGGGGCGGCTCTGCATGGGCCTGGCCGTTTCTGTGGTGGGTGCGTCCCCCAGGGGCCAGAGGCCTGGGGCGCCCGGGGCACTTAGGAACCAGCTCTGTGTGTGTGTGCGTGCACACACAAGCACAGCGTGTGCATGTGTGTAACGTGTGCAAACTGCTCACTGTGAATACACAAGCACGTGTGCAGGTCTGGCGTGCACACCTGTGTGTCTGCATGCACATGTGCTGTGTATCATGTCTGTGTATACGCGTGCGATGTCTGTTGCACACCTGCGAGTGCCCTGTGTGTGTGTGCCCACATCTGGTATGGTGCACCTGTGTGCGCATGTGTGTGTCGTATACATGTATGAGTGTCTGCTGCATTCTGTGCATGCATTCACATGCGTGTGCATGCATGTGGGGGGGCTGGTAGTGGGTGGATGAGTTCAGAAAAATAGGGGCCAAGGTTTGACGAGAAAAGTGGGGTGCGTCCAAGAAGGCACCCCTGGG